AGTTATGGTAGTTAATTTAACTGGGCTGTTAACTAAAGTCCGAGAGCTGTATTTAGTCGCATTTGAGTCGTCTTGATCGCTTATCAATCCGCTATGTAAGTATTTTTGCTAATTAATAGTAATTAAAGCCCTATGTACTATTTTTCGGTGGCCAACTCAAATGTCATATACTAGGACAGAGGGAGCAATCATTTATCGTCTATCCAAGATGTAGTGCACCGTTTGCCATTATCCTACTAATCAAGCTTTATTTTTGTTCATCAGGTTATTACTAAAATTATTGTCTAGCCATTATTTCTGAGAAAACTTTGTCAACTGAGAGTTGTAACATGAACAAGTGGTAATATGAAACTGCCATACATTGCAGTAAAAACACTATAAAGCAAATTTCCTACATTAAAACCTAATGACTGAACGTGCATCATAATAGATTACCTACTAGTCTGTGTTTATTTAAAACGTTTCATACAGAATAGCGCAATTAGATAATTACAATATAGTGTCGTTATTTCATTTACTAATCCCGTATTATTTATCCTTCATCATGACTGGCGTTAAGTTGTATTGTAAGGTCTACATATAATTCTTTCTGTTTATGACAGGGATTTAATTTCAACATAATGTATTGTTTATTTAGAGTTTTTAACCGACCATGACTTTCCAAATGAACTGATCACAACACATGTTGGCATAGCTCATACACGATGGGCAACGCATGGTGAACCAAATGAAGTTAATGCTCATCCACAACGTTCTGGTCCTGATAATGGATTTGTTGTAGTACACAATGGTATAATAACCAATCATATAGATTTAAGAGCATTGCTAGTAAGTTGATTTTTATTGTTAAGATAAGTCCTCAAAAAAAAGAAGAAACAAATGATGTTAATCAAAGTAAAATAACAAGACCGATTGTGAATAGCACATACATTTTGAAGTTAAACACGGCATTTAGTTTTCGGATGAGGAATTCATTTGTTAAACAACGCTGTATAAAGTCAAAGTTATGATAAATAGTTTCTTGAGGGACCTGAAAAAGAAGGTAGATTAGTGTCGGTCTGAACGACCTGGGAGCGTGACCGCAGAGCCCAAGGGACAACTGCTTGAGGTCGGTCACGCACAGTCTTTTTATCAGAGGTTTTTTGAGTATTAGCTCCGCTCTTAAAAACCCTTAGTGGGCACCCTTACCGACGGAGACGGAAATCTGTGAGGTGTGACATTTTTATGGTCAGCATTTTCTAACCACTTCCTTCTCTGTGAGAAGGCAGCATCACTGCAGATGCTGGTTGTCCGAGGGAAACACCTTACTGCTGTCACACCTCTGTGCAGTCAGCAGTACGACTTCACCCTCAGACATTGAGTAGCTGATTTTAGTCTCATCGTTCTTCAATCGACCTGCCTGGCATGGTAGAACCTTCAAGAACATATATTCCAACCAATATAGCTCGGTTGGTTCATCACAATAGGCAAGCCTGACCATCACATCAAGGTAGCAGCTTCGGTCGGGTGATAAACAGTTTCGAAGTAATTCAGTGGTAAATAAAGTTATTATAACTGGATAGGAATTTTTATGAAAATAGACAAAAATCGATCTAGACGATCAGCTTTGTTTGTTCTTAACATTTTCTCCTATTATATTATTGATATTTATCACTTGGTCGTCTCATTCAAACTCCTTCAATTAACAAAGTTAACCTTAAATAGATGAACAAATTTTATACAATTCACAAAGTAAACCAGTTCACATAATTCTTACGTGCTTTTCTTTTTAAAATGGCTGGCTTATTTTGAGGTCTTTCGGATAATATGTAAACAAACAGGTAAAATGTCATCACACTAATGAATGATAACCGATTGGTTATATAATCTCAATTAATCTAAGTCAGTGTTCTTTCATTTTATTTATTAACTGTATATAAAAAAACAAAAAACTTTTGATTGATTGAACTCAACTTTACCGACAGCTAGTTAATTATACAATATAGTCTATTGTGCAACAATGATCAATTACTGTATGTATATATATGTACAATTTATACAATAACGAGCATTACACATTTTTGAAACCATGAATCGATCAATGTTAGACCACCATTAGAAACTTGGAAGCACTGGACGGCCGTTTCGTCCTGGTATGGGACTCCTCAGCAGTGCGCATCCACGACTCTTGCACCCCGCAGGATTCGAACCAGGGACTTTCGGTATTGTGCGCGAACGCCCTAACCGTTAGACCACTAAGCCGGTATCTAACGGTGTTAATATCTAACTTGATCAAATTTAAATGTTAGAATCAACTAACACATTACTAAAGATTAGCATTAATACATTCAGGTGAATCTGAATTCAGGAAAAACAAGTTTTCTTGCTTGTTTCATTGGTAATTTGTAATGGAATCGGAACTCTGTTCAGTCAGTTAGTTATTTACAACATAGAACTTCGTACGTGCGTACAATTGTCACTTTAAATCCCATAGTGGTAGGTGTAGAAGTGTTAGCGGTAATGGAGAAGATTAGGGTTCGAAAACCTTATTCAAGAAGTATAATTCAGTGAGATAAATTTAGAAAGAGAAAGATAAAGGTGATGAGGAATTCAGAAGATTGGAATTTCAGAGAAGACAAAGAGTGGATGCAACAGTGGCCATTGCAAGCTATTTTGAGTCACTCCCTAATCTTCTCCATTGCTGCTAATAATTCTACTATTGCTATCACTCTTGGATTTGAACTGACAGTTACGTCTTTGTGCTGACGTGGTAAGGCAACCTGAACTGATATACTTATGTACGAAGTTCTGTGTTGTATCTGTCTGTCTGTCTGTCCAAGTCGTCATTCAAGGTCTCTAACCATCGATTACTGTCATCTCGCGGACCCCGACCAGGTAGTCGAAACCTGTCATCATGAATCAGTTCAGTTGTCATTGACTTCATGGATTTCTGCCATGTTTTGGTTAGGCAGCCCCTAATTTTCTTCCAGCCTACTCCTACACCACAAAACATAGCTCGTCGAGGCAGTCGGTGGTTAGGAATAGGCAACATATGTCCTAACCACCTCAACAGATTAAGTTTCAATAGTTCGTCGATTGATTTGCTATCCCAACCAAGTACTCGTTTCTTAATGACAGCATTGTTCCACGATACACGAGCGATGCTCCGAAGACACCTATAATCGAATACTAATAACCTACGAGTATCCTCAACTCCTGCTGGCCATATTTTGCATCGAGTTGCTTGTGGTGAGTGATGTCGATCCATTGTTGTTGTTGTCGTTCAATTTCTTCTGCATAATATAGTCTATTCACATTTTATTTATTATTTCTTACCCTATACTAATTCACAGAGTCGTCGCGGTTATGTATTCGAATCGGAAACAGATACAGAAGTGATTCCGAAATTTATGCAAATGATTTATGATTCACATAAAGACAATCCAATTACATTTTTAGAAGTTGTTGAATTAGTTGCTCAACAATTGGTAAGTCAATGATATGCATATTTGCTTGTGTGCGTGCGTGTGTGTGTGTGTGTGCCTGTCACGTCAGCCCTTCAAATCAATTTACTATTTTTGTGAATAAGGTTCCAGTGTGTAGATTCATGTGTGTTGAACGTTAACCTTAATTAGAATTATTAGTATTTATCGGAATACAAATGAATCCAACCAGATGAGGTTTTAAACAGGACGAGATATACATTTGGTTTCATCGTCAGAATACTATTAACCTTTACTAATTCTTACTGAGTAGTTGTTGTCTTTAAAAGTTGTTTATTACTTCAGATTAGTAAATCAATAGCGTGAACAATTCTGCTCATTACTTTTTTGTGTATTATTCCTAAAATCATCATCTAGTCGAGAATGTTCTTTCATTTTACTGGGTTTGAATCAATGTTTAGGTTCTAAGTAGGATAAATGAAATTCAACCTGTATGCCAAGTTAGCAAAAACGTCGCCTGAAGCCCCTATGTGTAGCTACTGCCAGTCCCAAGCTCGGTTTAAGGCGGACGGTTAGGCATAGGGTTAGTGACCCGTATCCCTTAGGAAACTAATTCGATGAAAAAAAAACGCCAACGCTAACCAAAGTTAACAAAAAAATAAATACTTTTTGCTAACGGTTTTACAAGGATTGTAGTCGAATGTCTTTGAGATAATTTCTATACTTTGTTTAGGAATACGTATCTGTTTGAACATAGATATCTTGGATACTTTGCTTGTGGTTTGCAAAACGATGATGTAGGGAACCATTCTGAAGTACCAGATAAAAATGAATAATCTACTGATTAGGAAATGAATCTTCATTCACTGTGGAAGTTGAGTGATATTCTATGTATGTCTAAACACCTACGATCTACCTCAACGATGCTGTATGGGGTAGGTGCCAACAAAGCAACAAACTCTATCATCGGCCGTTGTTTTAGAGTTGGGTGTTAGGGTGGGCCCAATGAATAATTGGAGACATTAAGTAACATGACTCACGACCGGTCACAGTGTCTCAAATGTATTCACTCCTTATCATCCTCTAAATCCTAGGCGCTTAGATATTCTGGCATACGGACCTTTCATTTCACATTTACCAACTTACGAGGGAAAGTATTCTGCAAAATGCCTGTTATATGCTACTTTCTAGAGTTATGGTCAAATAACTTGCATAGATTTTTACAATACTGGATAGTGCAAGACTATGTTGTATAAAAGCTAAGACTATTTATGTCAAACTATGTATCCAGTTCATAATCTCATTGATTTTATTAAGGAGATTATGTAAAGAGTTGGCAGAAATTCTGTGAATGAAATCATTGAAATGACAGAAATCAGTTTGTAGAGCCCCGTGAATAAAACGTCGCCCGAATAGGGTTGTAAGAGCGCAAATGCATTGGTTTCTTTTCTGTATTTACTTTCAACTCGTTATTAATTGTCATTTATTGCTCGTAGTCAGCTTTAGGTTTTCATTGAAAAAAAACATATTTCCGTTGCTACAAGGTGTGGTAGCTTGAGTTTTTCCAACATTTACTCGAAGTTCTGCAGTGACGTGTGTTTGTCTGTCTATGAATTAACCGATTAATGTGAATCATGTCGCTTGCTCTTGCGCCAGTTACTCCTAAATGGAGCTTACGCTGCCGACTAGCGAATTAATTTTCTGGTTAGCGTTTCTCTAGCGAGTTAAATTTCTACGGGATTAGGTCACAAACCTGCATGCCTAACAACCTTCCTCCATTATCCGGATTTGAGACCGTCAGTAATCCGAGAAGGGCTCCAGATGGAGTTAGAACTGAAATTTCTGCCCAAATAATCTTATGGCAGAGTTTCATTCTCTAAGCTGGATGATGTTTCGGTTGTGAAGAGCTTTCATCATTCTTCTAAACAACAACATCGTTAGCACAAATTTGATTACTTACAAGTGATGTATTCAAAATTTCTGCACATATGACTTGTAGCTTTTTTGTCCTATTGACCTCGATCTTGATGATTCGTTGTTATTTATCATCAATTCTCATCGTCAATCCATCTGAGCTACAACGTTTCTCTATCAGCATTGAAAAATATGCATTTTTGGAAGTTCTTTTTTACAATTTCTCTTTTCATCTAATCTAAACACAATGTGTTAATTGTGAATCGTGAAAACTATTTTAGATCAATCAGAGTTAGACATTAACACCGTTAGATGCCGGCCCAGTGGTCCGATGGTAGGGCGTTCGCCTACAATGCCAAAGGTCCCGGGTTCGAATCCTGCGAGGAGCAGGAGTCGTGGATGCGCACTGCCACTGATGAGTCCCATACCAGGACGAAACGGCCGTCTTTCAGTGATTCCAGGTTTCTAATGGTGGTAGCCTAACAATGATTGATTGATGATTTCAAATGTGTAAAAACTATTTTAGTTTCTTTTGTTACTACATCACTACTATACCATTGTTTTTCAGGAAGGATCATTTGCATTGGCATGTAAAAGTTATTATTATCCTGGTGAATGTGTTGTAGCAAGGTCAGTCAGTCGGTGTTCCTATTACTTTCTTGGTATATATATATATTTCATTGTACTACTATTCTGTTATTGACTATTCAACTTAATTTTTGGTTCAGAGGTTGGGTGTTCGCTCACGAGACCGAAGGTCCCGGGTTCGAATCTCGTTAGTAGCAGGAGTTGTGGATGTGTGCTGCTGATGAGTCCCATACCATAATGAAACGGCCTTCAATCAATCAATTGCAACGTAGAACTTCGTACGTACGTACATCAGTTCAAGTTGCCATACCACATTAACACAGAGATGTGATTTTCAATTCGAATCCTATAATAGTAAAGATAGTAGAAGTATTAGCGGTAATCGGAGGAATTAGGGTTCGAAGATATTATTTAAGAAGTAGAATCTAGTGAAATAAACTTGAAAATAAAAAGATAAAGTGATAAAGAATTAAGAAGTTCAGGATTTGAGAGAACACAGTGAATTAATGCACCTGCGCCATGACATTCAGGGTCTTAACCGTCAATTATTATCGTCTCGCGGGCCCCAACCAGATAGTCGACACCCACCAGCTTGGCTCAGTCCACTTGTTAATGACTTCATAAATTTGTGCCTTGTTTTGGTTTGGCCATCCTTGAACTTCTCCCAACTTATTCGTACACCGCAAAACATAGTTCGACGAGGCAGTCGGTGGTTAAACATGCGCAGCACATGTCCCAACGACCGTCCAATGCTTTCAGGTTTCTAATGGTAGTCTAACAGTGATTGGTTGATGATTTCAATGTGTAAAAATATTATTTGTAATTTAATTCAGGATAATTTATTGATTTTTTTCAACAAAGTATTTTTCTGATTATTATTTCATGATGATAACATTACCACTAATGGATATGACATTGTTTGCAATAGTCGCAGACGCATCTTCTGAATTCCTGATCACTTTTATCTTTTTCTTTTCAAATTTATTTCACTGGATTATACTACTTGAATAATTACTGCTCATACTTGTACTAACTTCACCACTATAGGATTTGAATTGACGATCGCATCTGTATACTAATATGGTATGGCAACTTGAACTCTGATGTACGTGCGTACGAAGTTCTATGTTGTAGCTGACTGACATTACTGCTAAACAAATCGGTTACTTTGTAAGTTTGTTTAACCCTCTCTATTCGACTGAATGTTGAAGTTTTGTCCGTTGTGATTTAGTACCCTTTTCCCTTAATACCAGCATTGTTTTCTCGATAGTCCCAGGTTATATGAGCAATGCTTCTAAGACACGTATGATCGAACTAATAGCCTACGAATATCCTGTACGCTCACTGGCCATGCTTCAGTCAGTCAGATGCAACGTAGAACTTTGTACATAAGTACATCAGTTCATGTTGCCATACCACATCAGCACAGAGATATAATTGTCAATTCAAATCCAATAGTAGAAGAGGTAGTAAGGGAATTAGAAGTAATCGGAGAGGTTAGGATTAGAAGATATTATTCAAGAAGTATGACTCAGTGAGAAAAGTTTGGAGAGTCGAAACTAGAGGGGTTGAAGAATCCAGAATATTAGCATTTGAGAGAACACAAAGAATGAATGCACCGGCGCCATTGCGAACGATTTTGAGCCATGTCATTCAAGGTCTCTAACCATCGATTATTATCATCTCGCGCACCCCAACCAGGTAGTCGACAATTACCGACATGGCTCAGTGCACTCGTCAATGACTTCATGGATTTGTGCCATGTTTTGGTTTAGCCGCCCCTAGCTTTCCTCCAACCTATTCCTACATTACAAAACAAGGCTCGACGAGGCAGTCGGTGGTTAGGCATACGCAACACATGTCCCAACCACCCCAACTGGTGAAGTTTCAATACTTCATCGATTGATCTGCCATTCTTACCTAGCACCCGATTCCTAATAACAGCGTTGCTCACTCGGTTGTCCCACGATATACGAGCAATGCTTCGAAGACATCTATGATCGAAAACCAATAACCGACGAGTATCTTCTACTCTCATTGGCCATGTTTCACAGCCATAAAGTAAGACGGAGCGAACCACTGCGCAGTACACTCGTCCTTTAGTCAGCAAACGGATATCTCGCCTACGCCATAAGTGACGCAGGTTGGCAAAAGCCAATCGAGCCTTCTGTATCCGTGCTGAGATTTCGTCAGTCACCAGGCCATCGGCACTGATGAGACTCCCAAGATAAGTGAAGCGGTCTAAACGTTCGACTACTTCACTCCCTATCACTAGTTCAGGTGCTGATGCAACCCAGTCTTGAAGCAACATTTTGCATTTCGAGGAGGAAAACCGCATCCTGAACATACTTGCATTGTTGCTTAGGGTAGTCAGAAGACTCTGCATTTTGTCAGCGTCTTCACCAAGTAGGACAATGTCATCGGCATATTCTAAGTCAATAAGCGAGCCACCTGGTAGAAGGTCTACTCCTGAAAATTCAGACGAGGATAATGTTATGTCTAGGAGCATGTCTATGATAAAATTAAACAAAAATGGAGAGAGTGGACATCCCTGACGGACACCACTTGATGTAGAGAATTCCGGTGACAGTTCGCCGTAAGCCCTCGCTCGACCAGTGGTGTTCGAGTAAAGAGCTTGTATAAGGTTAATGTACTTCTTTGGTACACCTTTCAATGACAGACACTGCCACAGAACCTTACGATCAACAGAGTCAAATGCCGCCTTAAGGTCTAGGAAAACAACTATTGTAGGACGCCTAGATGTGTGTCTATGTTCCAGGCCCTGTCGTAGTGTGAAGACGTGGTCTATACAGCCACGTCCAGGTCTGAAACCAGATTGGTTTTCTCGAGTTTGCTCTTCATGAGCTTTCGTTAAGCGTCGAAGTATTATTGAGGCCAATATTTTAGATACTATATTAGTTAGACTTATTCCCCTGTGATTGTCACAAGAAGACTTTTGTCCTTTCTTATAGATTGGGACAATCAAGGATTGAGACCAGTCGGATGGGATTGCGTCCGGTTCCCAGATTCTACCTAAGATCTCAGTCAACCTAGCTGATAAAACTGGACCACCATCCTTAAATATCTCAGGGGTCAGTCTATCAGGACCTGCAGCTCGTCCTCGTTTCAGATTTCCTAACGCTTTTTCAACTTCATTAAGACTAAGGGGACTTAGGTCGATTTGGCATTCAGGATGACTGGAGATCGTGGGTAACCGAAGAGTGGCTCGTGGCCAGTTGAACTGATCCCTAAAATGTTCAGCCCATCGATCCAGTCTCCTCGATTGAGAATGGATAATAATCCCATCCTTTTCCGAGATAGTCTCACTTACACTATGATTCCTAATACCAGTTTCTTTAATAAGGCGGAAAAGTTGTCTACTGTTGCCGATCGCCGCTGCATTTTCCATCGCTTTTGCTTTCGCCACCCACCACTGTTCGCGGTCGTTACGGAGACTTTTTATAAGTCTGCGCCTAAGCTGACTACGCTCTTCATCATGCTCAGAGTCAGGTGGGATGCGTTTTCGAGCATCCATCAGTTCGGTGGATGCGACTGAAATCCACGGCTTCATCCTAGCCTCATGGTTTACCTTACTAGCAGATATCACTGCTGTTTCCACAGCCTTTTTGATATCATACCAACCTGCTTCTGGATGGGAATCTCTTGCATGGTTGCTTAACTCTCTTTCTAGTTGCTCCTGAAATATTTTCTTGGTTTGATTATCATTAAGTAAAACCCTGATAGGCTTCCTTACGGTGTCTTCCCTACGTCCAGTAAGCCTTAAACAGATACGAGCTCGCACTAGAGCATGATCTGAATCCAAACATGTGCCCCACAACGAGCGACAGTCTTCTATCGAACCCCTCCATCGGTGGCTGATGGCGATGTGATCTAGTTGAGTCCAACGTTGAGACGACTTTGGAGGTCGCCAGGTCAACAGATGCTTTTCCTTATGCCTAAAGTTGGTGTTCGCTAAGAATAGGCGGTTATCTGAGCATAGTTGCAACAGACGGTCGCCATTGTCTGTTCTCTGAGCCGTGACACCATAACATCCACCTAGATGTCTTTCATTTTCACCTAGTCTACCTACTTGAGCATTAAAGTCACCAGCCATTATTACTATATCAGAGCGCCTAGCTTTTTGGAGGAGGTCCGAGAGCTTTCTGTAAAACTCATCCTTAACCTCGTCTGAACTGCATTCAGTGGGGGCATAGGCAGATATGACGAAGAGGCAACGGCGATTGTCCCTATCTTTCCGAGTCCTTACTGACCCGTTTAGTCGGACAGCGCACAAACGACTATCTACTGGGGTCCAGTCTAGGAGAGATAATTCTACCCTAGGACTCAACGCTATGCCTACACCAGCAAGACCCCTGGAAGCAGCATCAGGGCTGCCGGATACACGAAGAGTAAATCGAGCTGCTTCTTTATTTTGACATGGTGTGGCCAAGTGTATGACGTGACTCGGATCCTGTATGCGCGTTTCCGAGACGCACCATACATCGATGGCACGAGTTTCTAGAGTCCTAGCTAATGATGCCTGTTGCCCTGTTTGACACAATGTCCGTACATTAAAAGCTCCAACATGTAGTCTAGAACGGGGTTTCAAGAGACCAGGAACGACGTTTCGTGATCTCGCTTCGTCTGCATTAGCGGTGCAGTGAGAAAAGGGAGTGTGAGTAGAGTTAGTCGTAGAGATAAGAGAGACATTAGGGGGTATAGGAAGGATTTGATTTTGACCAATTTGGTCTCGCGTGCTGTTACGGGTATGAGGGCGGTTGTCACTTCCTGGCTGCCCACACCGTGGAAGCTGGCCATGCTTCATACCCATATAGTAGAACAGAGCAAATTGGTACGTAGTGGAATCGTCCTTTGGTTGTTAGACGAATATCTCTCCTACGCCATAAATGACTCAAGTTGGCGGAAGCCAGTCAAGCATTTTGTATCCGCGCTGAGATTTTGTCACACACCAGGCCATCGGGACTGATAAAACTCCCCAGCAAAGTAGTCAACACGCTTAACTACTTGACTGCCGATCACTAGATCAGGTGCCGACGCAAGCCAATTCTGAAGCAACATTTCGCATTTCGGCGGGGTGAATCGCAACCCGATCATGAATTGTTTACTAAGGTGGTCAGAAGACACTGAATTTTGTCAGTGTCTTCACCAAGTAGTCTCTTATAGACAACTCTTTCACCGTTTGCAGCTGAGTGTTACTTACTATGGCCAGACATTCACAACTTGGAAAGGTCAAGTTTCACAAAAAATAGGCTCATTCGATATTCGGCTTCAAAAAAAGTTTGCTCGTTTCACTCCGTTTGGGACGATAAATTTTATTTGCCATTAACATTGCATATTCCTGTGTTAGTGGGACATAGATGGAATTAAAGCATGACTACGTTGCTACGCGCTGATTGGCTAATTTCCTATCCAATCAGCGCCTGATCGATCCTTGGAGAATAGGGTAGAAAATTCTCGTATTGTTAGCTGCATGCTGATTGTCTAAATCTAACCCAGTCGATCACGTGAATTTCTATCCAGAAGCTTCTCATTTAAATACTATAAAGAAACTAACGTTGTATCTATTTTTTGCCTTCGCCTTTGGCTTCTTATTTCCATTTAATCTTGCTATTTGGAATATAATCTTTTCCTGTTCAACCGTGTTTTTGATTCTTTTGGAACTTGTCCAGTGTATTGTGTGGTCAGAGAATACTAAGCAATAGGAATTAGCTGGAAATTATTCAAGCAAGCGTTACAACACCCTGTCTGGTTGGTTGCCTGACAGACCGATTGACTAAATGAGTCTTATGTATACATGTATGTGTATGACACCTTTTCGGTGCAATATGGTAACTACTACTTCTTCACTATTCTACAAATAATTTGTTTTGATATATTGTAAACATCTTCCTTCTTCCCCCCCTTCTCTAGGCGTGGTTCACCAATGTTAGTTGGCATTAAAAGTCCACATGAATTGACTATGAATCATATACCGGTATTTTATAAACCGAATAGTATGTTCTA